GAATCGTGGTGCGGCGAATTCGACGGCATTCTGCCATGGGCCTAGGTGAGGGGTTTCTTCAACCAGTCACGAAGCTCACGGTGGCCATCGGGGCTTCCCTTTGTTCGGCTCGGTGTGAGGTCGCCATTGGCCGACCCACGCGGGAAGAGCTGAAGGCGTCGTGCCGTGGCGAGCGGCGCTCGAGCTACGCGGCGCTTTCTACGCGTGGCCGGAGTTTCTGGGCGACCTCAGGAACTGGAAGAGGTCTTTGGGAAAGGGTCTCGGTTGTGACGCGTTTTTTTGTCTCGAATGTGACGCGGAGAGCTTTTCTCAGTTGTGACGCGGAGAGCTTTTCTTTTAGAGAATCTGTGTGCTTCTGGGCCCTTGCTTGGTTCTCATAAAGTCATAAAGCTCCAATCCAGCTCCACACCAATTCCACCAAATGCCACTCTAAACTCTGAAGCCCAACAACCTAATGTCCCACCCCACCCCTAAACCCCCCCCACCCCCCCCCCCCCCCCCCCCCCCCCAACCTAACGCCCCACCCCACCCCCCCCCCCCACCCAACCTAATGCCCCACCCCACCCCACCCCAACCTAATGTCCCACCCAACCTAATGCTTGCTGTCATATGTGTGCATGTGTCTGTGTCGCGAATGAGAGAGATTTGGTGTCGTACATGAGAGGAATACAGGGGGGTGGTGGTGTCGCAAATGAGTCCGATTTGGTGTCGCAAATGAGTCCCTTGCCGGTCTTTGTTGTTCCAATTTCTCTATAGTGATCACAAGAACTGGAAGAGGTCTCTGGAACTGGAAGAGGAACTGGATTTAGTAGTCAAGTGACAAGTGGCAGTTTTTGTTGACACTGCGGAGAGAAGAAGTGGATCTTGATCACAGAGTGCTGGGCAAAGCATGGTGCGAATCGGAGACACCTCGGCAAATCATCATTTGGTGTTGGCAAACCCTCGGCGGTTGCGACATCGACTGAGCAGGTGTTTTGAGTCTTCTGTTGAGGTGATTTGTAACAAGTTGCACGATCGGTGGAGATATGAAGCGTGTTTACCTTTTCTTAGGGATCTAGGAAATTGCTGAGGTGTCCATCCATCCAACAGTTTTATTGAAGAGATGCTTCTCCGTGATCCAAAAACAACACATGTAGTGTCATTGGTCCCTTGGTTGATGAATTCACTTCCCTGGTGCATCCTGACTGAGCTGGCCCATGCCCATCTCCGTTCGCCCTTTGGGGCCCTTTTACTGTATTGGTGAATGAATAGAGGGGATGCCCGAATAGGTGTAGAACCAAGGTTGGTAGATGGTACTAAACCAGCCGAACTTCCAAAAGGACATCATAGATTGCCATGATGGGCCCCCCCGCCCGCTGCCGCGTGTTCTTTTTTTTTCAACAGGCCTTGCTGAAGCAACGACCACTGACACTACAGCATGAGGCTTAGAGGTGTTGTTGGGCCAAGAGAAAGGGGCAAACCTAGTGTCAAGATACGACAATTGAAGAAACACACACGTAAACACATGCGATAAAACCTACACTATGTTTTTTTGTTGTTTTTTTTTTTTTAATTACATGAATCATGACATGAAAGAACATGGAATGAACATGGATGAATGAGCAACCTGTGTGTCCGCCTGTATGATCGTGACCATCCTTCGCCAAAGTGATCAACTCAGGATTGAACGTCCGGATGGCGCAGGTGGGGTGACTGTGACCGTTTGGATTCTTGCCATGTTAGAAGTGCCATTTGATGTCTCTCTCTGACTCTCTCCGTTCAAGGCAGCTGGCCCTGGCTTTGATAGGTTTTCAATGGTTTTCATCTTCAGAGCTTTTGGGCAGATTGGGGCCTCTCCGACCTCTCTCGCGTCACGTCTTGATGTGGTGCTTCCCATTTATTGAAGCAACGCTTGACAGAAACTGTGTTTTTTTTTTAAATTACCCCGGAGGCTACCATCGTTCGTCTAACATCCGTTCATTCCGGAGGGAAACGCTCCGGGCCTACATCCCTCCAACCTCGCTCCGGGACGTGTCACCGACAGGTCCGGCGCCGGGAGCCCGACCGTCGGTGCCGTCAGGTGCGGGCGGGAGCGACAGCGGCTCCGAGTCGGAGGATGAAAAGGCGCCGGTCCGACTCTCGACCGGAACGGACGGTGAGTGAGACAGAGCGGGGGGGCGGAGACCGGAGGTCAGGAGGTCCTGGACTGGTAGACCTATGTAGACCTATGGGTTTAGAGGCCATCCTGGCGGTTTGATCCGGAGAATGGCAAGTTGTTGGAGGTGGAGATGGGTGTTTAGGACATTTGCTGTGTCAAGACTAAACTTTTCTTAGAGATTAGGGGACCCACCATGACACACCTTTAGGGACACAGTCCCTTTGAAGCACGGTGGAGCACGGTGGATACCTGGAGACCGTTTCTTTGTTCCCACAGTCGGTGTTGGACCAGGAGACGGGGGTGGTCTACGGTGGAGACGGGGGGTGTCAACCCACCATCTTGCGTCCTCGCAAGGAAAAACGGTTTGGTATACAGTATATTGATGTATATTGTATATATTATATATTTGTATATGATGTTTGTGTAGTAGTCTCTTGATTAATCATAATCCAAGCGCGCCCATTTGGACCATTTGGATTGAAACATCAAGAGCCTGCTAACATTATATATCTGGACCTGACACTGTCGGGGTGTCCTGTCTGGAGATCCATAGGTAGCGTGAGGGCTTCCATTGGTAACCCCATTGGAAGGTGCTGGTATGATGGAAAAATCTCTTGCAGCATGTCTTCCTTCAGTTGGGTTCCGCTCTTGTCGTTGCAGGCTGGTCCGGACGGAAGCCCCTTGGCCGCGCGGCAAAATGCTGACCTGGCCCTCTTGCAGGGGGCACTCAGAAAGGTGTTCAGGTCGGTGTGAGGAAGTCGCCGAAGCATCGAAACAGCGTGGTTCAAGCAACAGGTCACGATTGGAAACCTTTTAGGGACCAACCAACAACCCTCCAACAAGAAGACCAGGGGCATGGTGCATGTGTGTTTGTTTGCCAACTAAAAGCAACTTGGGGTGATTGGTTTAGGGTTTAAGGCCTGTTCGTGTTAGTATGAAAAGGTAGTGTGAAGGCTGAAGCCAACCAAGACACAATGTATAAGCAGAGTCCGGCAGCACGCCCAAAGCCCGCAAGCAACAGTTTGGGATCCAGTTTTGGTGAAGGGTTTACAAATATATATATATATACATATGTACTTTTTTCCAATCTCAGTCAAATAGCTACAATGAATTGCATCGGGGAACTGGCAATTCTTTCCTGGGTCACAGATTGACCTTTGTTTTGCGGGTTTCCTCGGCACAATTGGCCCACTTGAGAAGCACCAAGGTAGAACCCGCTTCAGAAGCACACGTGTGTGTTGGTTCCACGAAAATTGTAACGGTGCGGGTCTGGCGGAAGAATGTCTTTTGGTTGGGGATGGAACTGCTTTGGACATGGTTTGCTGTGGGGCACGAATCTGATATGAACTTGAAACAGGTGTTGCTTTGCCTATCAATTGCTATCGTTTAGAGAACAGGGTGGTCATATTGGCAAATTGGTATATGTTCACCTTTACAAACAGAGTTCGACACTTCACAAGACCTTCAGATGTGATTCAATGGAAACCCTGCCAAAGTTTGTGTCTCACCTACTTCCCTAACAACCCTAGGTCCTAACAGGTTCATGGATACTTATGACAACTGTTTGTAGTTATACCATTATCACAAGCCGAATCCGCCTGTTGTATTGGTTTATTGGCTTTCAAGAACCCCCTCAAGCCACCCCAAGGCATATATCTTACTTATAGGAATTTGTAGGCAAAGATTGAAGTATATATCCATGAAGTGTCTTCGACACGATGCTCGAGCCATGCCGGTAGTGGGTCCCGTCCCAGGACTGCTGCGAAGGCCAAAGCTGCCAGCGCGTCAAAGGCACGGAGACGAGTGGTGCTGGCGATTCGCGCGACGAGTGTGGAAGCGTATTTCCATTGCGAAGTGGGTGCATAGAAAAATGTTCAATTGAACTGGGAAGTGGGTGCTGCGAAGTGTGTACGCTTCCATTGAACTTACTGGAAAATGTTCAATTTACGTCAATGTTGGGTGGCTTGATGAGTGTCGCACGTGGCTTGAATGAGTAAGCAAACTCCCGACTTTTTTTCTGTGGAATCCACATCTTGACCATCAGTGAGATTTCTGCAGTGCCGGAGGGAATTAGGCTCTTACGCAGCCCCTGGTTAGTGTGCTCCAGCTGCAGGAGGAGAAATCGTATGTATTCACGGAAACAATCACATGTTGGAACAAGCTAATGCGTGTGCGGCATGTGAAACTTTGGCATGTCACCCAGAGAGAATCAGTACAACTTCACCACTCTCCGGCAATGTCCTTGAGTCTTTGGCTCAGAATCAGAAAAGAGGCAAACGGCGATTTTGAGATGAAAGCAGCAGCCTTCTTGATATCACCCCCAACATAGAAACAAATTCCAAGTCATTCCAAGTCTACAGTTTGCGTATTTGAGGCTTTTCAGGTGTTTCTATCACTTGGGTCTCTTGCTGTTCTGCAATTTTCAATTTTTTGGGGGTTCACACAGAGACCACTCAATGACACAGAGATTCACAGACCCCTCCTAATTCGCAGCTGATGTGAAGACTGGTGTCGGAACTTGACACAGCCCAAGGCCCCAAAAACCAGCTGGAAACCCCCCCTAAAATCCAAAGCAAGGCAACATGGACCTTGCCTGGTGGTGATAGAACTTTTTCCCCGTTCCGAAGCCCTGCAATCTCAACAGAGAAGTCACTGACGTTCCGTTTCGCCCTGATTTTGACGTTCCGTTCCAGCTGCGAACGTCCAGAAGCCACAGACCACAGAGTCACGGACGTTCCAGCACCGAGCCGAATGGCGGGCGCGGAAACGCGCCCGCTGCGCGTGAAGCTGCGCTCGGGACGAGGACGGGGCGTTCTGCTTTTGGTGCCCCGGTCCTGCGAGCTGGTGGCGGATTTGCAGCAACATGTGCAGATGCGCCTGGAAGAGGAGAAGATCGTCACTTGGCTGGAAGAGAACATGCTGAAGGAAGATATGTTGTTTCTGTTGCTTGTTGGAATCATGGCCATGTAGAGCTGGGATACTTTTCCATGTTGAGTGATGAGACTGATATCTTGGAGAAGAAAACAGAACATTGAAGGCATCTCAGGGCTTTTGCACACTGTTTAGTTTGTTTTGACTCGTCAGAAGTCAGAAGCAAGACCTGGGAAGCTGCACATATTGATACAAACAAACATCCCAGGAGCTTTCCCCCCCTCTTTGGCCTCTTTGGCCCTCCAATGCAGTTTCTCAGTTTGGCAAGCCTCGACGCAGGTGCTCAAGGTCCAGGGCTACGCATTGCTCCCCACCCAGCGTGTGCGCGAGGTGCTCCGCGACGGCGACGAGCTTGTCTCGTCCACGGCGCGAGGTCCAAGCTGTACGGAGGCGAATGGGGAGATCAAAATGGAGGAACGCGAAAGAGGGGTGGAGCTGGATGAGATGGATGTGGGTGGAGGCTTGACCTGTGAAGGTCGTAACTTAAGAATACTTAAGACACAGAATAGTACTGCCCTAATTTCTCTCACACACCATTGGTAGGAGGTTTCAAGGGGCGACTAATTTTGGGTCTATTTTGCCATAAGGCCATAATTGACTTGTTGTGGGTGGGGGTCGGTGGCAGTGTTTATTTCCTGCTATTGGTCTTTGTGGCTCTTTTTGGTTGGAGATGTGGCCTGTGGTCGGGTTGATGAATCAATGATGTTTGATGTTTGTTCGACTTGACTACCACCTCTCTTTCAGCCCCGTGCTGGCACTGTGGCGCTGTCCCACAAATGAGTAATGAGAACATATGAGAACAGTCTGAATGTTTTCTATACAAGGAATGCATGTGGTCCATTCTGCAGCCCAGGCCTGTGCAGCGAAATCAGGGCCTGTCAGGTCCGCCTCGCGTCTCAAGTACCCAGGCGACCCCCGCCCTCAAGGATGTGGAACTGGTGGAACCGATGATGGGAGGAATGCACAGAGGGACAGCAGACTGGAAGGAGTCCGGAAATTTCTTGTTCATGGCTGAAAGTGAGCCGATCGTTTTGATTCGTTTTGAGAGGATTGAGACACTGCGTTGCTCGTCTTGATTTGCAGGTAGTATGGCATGTTGTAGCAAATCCGCAGGGTATCGCAGGTATATTGTTTAAGAGGCACAGGTGTTGGTGTTGGAGCGGGCCATGCTAGGTTTCTTCTTCGCAACAGATGAGAACAGCAGTCATCGTCGGTGGACATCCATCGTCGGCCTAGTTCTTAGAAACCTTTGGCACTTCATGAGTATGCACACGAAACCAGAAGGAGCCTGAGAGCGGGGACAAAGGCTCCAAACGCGCCAAGATCGAGAAGCACCACGCGAAGTCTGGTGGTGAGGTGCATGATGTTCTTCGGCGAAAGGAAGCAAGCTTGACTTGACCAAAGTATAACTTCAAAACTTTTTGCCTACTTAGTGAGTGGATCACCTTTAAGCTTGATTTTTGTATTTTCCAGGGAAACTGCGGAAGTCAGCTAGTTTGAGCTTTTGACTCCCTCATTTCGCAATCTCATTATGGCAAACAAAGGCGGATCCCGGTTGGATCTATAGTCGACCCCAGGAAGACGCGGTTGTATTCTTCCGCCCAGATGGAAAAGCTTGCGAGGGTCCAGGGGATCATTGTCAAATCAATTGGACATGATATATATATATATATATGGCAGGCAAACAAAAGCCGAACCCAGACCAGGAAAACCACTACACAAAAGCCAGCAAAAGCTGGAAACAAGAATCTGAGCAAAAGCTGGAACAGAGCTCCAGATTCGGGTGTTTGCCATTGTTTTATTGCCTTCACTGCCTTGGCCTTCACCTTTATTATACATTTCTGTGTGTTTCAAACGGCCTCTTCAGAGGCTGTCTAGCACGCCACTTGCGTTGAGTGCGCTTCCCAGATCGGTGACCTATATACATTGACCCGTGAAACCACCTTACATGACACTCCTAACCAAAAACCTTGCTCCAACACAAGACTTGTGTGTCGACTGCATACCAGAATTGAACATTGAAATACAGCGGATCCACTCTTTTGTGGGTGTGTTTTGATGCTGCACAAGCGTTGTTTTCTGTGGTGGTGTCAGATACTATGTTCAACTGTAACTGTTGTTTGGATGTTTGAACCCGCTTACCAACTGTCAAATGGGTTGAACCAAAACACAATTATCCGTTTTGATGGTGTATAAGTGTTGTTGCAGATGTGTGGGGCCCAACGTCATCCCCTAAGTCTTTGTTTACAGGTTCTTCAAGAAGCTCCAAGATAAACTTCCCACTGAGGACACTCGGCTGACTTCCTGGGAGGCGGCTCATCAGGCGAAAGAGATCCTCAAGCGTGCGCGGCCAATGCCGCCGCCGGCATCGCCGCCGGCAACGCCGCCTGCGCCGGTGCTGCCGCCTTGGCCGCCGGTGAAGGCGAAGGAGAACTTCACGCTGAAGAAGGATGGAGAGGCAGGGTGCCCAGCGTTCGGAAGCGGCTAGGGTGAGGGGGTATACCGGTATACCATATACTTTTAAGGCATCGTGTAGTGTTTTGTGCGATGTTTTGATCGTGTTGTTTGGGCAGCTTTGAGCTTGTATTGTTCTGTATGCGATGTTATTGTGGGTACTGAGAAAGCGCTCGCTCTTTCTGTTGGAGGGGTTGCAAATTAATGTGGCAACGAACCAGCACATTCCCAATTGGGTGTTGGGTTGTTTGGTTGTGATTCACACCTACAACAACAAGACATGTACAGTGTTGGTTTTCTCTACTTCAGGATTTGCAATTTGTTTTTTGGATTTTAATGTCGACCTGGTTTTGTGGGGGATGTTTGTACCCACAAAATCTCACAACATGGTTTAACATTCACACATTCAGTTTTCTTGGATATAGTTAGGATTGTGCGAGAACCAACATCACATGAAAACCCCAACCAATTTTGTCATCCAGGTTCAGGCTTACAAAAACCTTCACGAGTTTCCAGTTGCTAAACGACGCGTACCAGCACTTTGTCCTATTTGGACTGGACTCCAGTCCTAGCCCGGGGTAGAGTGTGGGGTAAGAGGACCATGGGAACCAGCCACTGGACCGTTTGGGTGCCGAAAAAGACTTCGAGCACCGAAACGCTCTCGTCAGAGGCGGTGGCCATCTCTCATCCAGTCCTGGGCGATTTGGAGGTCCCGAGCGGCCAGGCGCGACCGGGGAACCCGGCTTCTAACGGTGTCGGTCCAGTCCCGCCACCGAGCTGTTCGGTCCACATGGAATGTCCGAGGGGGACTGAGACGTTGGGGAGATCCACTTTCTCTACATGCACTGCTGCACGACTGCTTTTAATGTGTTTTAAAACAGATCTTATTCAAGATGAGATGCGATCACGCTGGCCGCCCGTGGGGGAATGCTTCACCAGTGACGCTCGCGGACGGTCGTGGTCCTCCAGCAGGCGCCGGAGGACTTTGTGAATCGAAAGCTGAAGACGCTGAGCAAGGCGATCCGCAAGCAGGCGAAGCCACGAGCGTTCGAGCGTTACGACGCGACGCAACCGTGCAACCGTGTCCCATGCTTCGGATTCCGAATGCTTAGCTGGCTTTTTGGGGGGGTGCTGTGATTCTTGTTCTTGCGGGGATGCTGCGTCATGTGAAGCAGTTTTTGCTGGGTGAACTGCGAGGAGGCCATTACAGTGGCCAAAACCCCCAGGAAATGAATACATTTTTTTCAGGCTTTGGCTAGAGTCTATTTGAATCTACTGATTGCAGATCCTCACCTTAGAGATGGATGGCAAAAGAAGCATTGAGGAACAACTTGGTGGCATGTGGTGGCCCAAAGACTGCTACTGCTACTGTACCTCAAGGGTGAACGTACCACGGGGCTGCAAAAAAGGGCTCCGGGTGCCACGACAGCGTTCACATGGGTCAAACGTACTGAAGGCCATTAGTGAACGTGGAATTCAGTCAATCGTATTCCTTTAAGATTCTGTTTGTCTTGCAAAGTCTGGGGGCGGGGACTCCAGAAACCAGGTTTGGAGTGCAAAATGGTCAACATAGGTGACCACGGCACTGCATGCGATAGTTGATTCATGTTTGTGCCTACGGGTGTAAAACTGAACGTGTGACTACTGCGATTTTTGAGGTTGATGCTACGTCACGTGAAAGGTGGGGGGGTTGTGTTGGGGTGGGATGAGGCATATTGACGTTCGTTTGCACTTGCTTTCTGAAGTTGATGCTACGTGAAAGGTGGGGGGGTTGGGGTGGGGTGGGATGGGGCATATTGACGTTCGTTTGCACTTGTTTCCTGAAGTTGATGCTACCTGAAAGGACGGGTGGGCTGATGTGGATAACTATTTATACTAAGGTTATCTTCGGTTTCATAGCATTGTTATCGGTTTCATAACATTGTCATCGTTTTCATAGCACTGTCATCGGTTTCATAACATCGTCATCGTTTTCATAACATTGTCACCGGTTTGCCAACATTGTCATTGGTTTCATAACATTGTCATCGATTAGTCGTGTGATTAAAATGGGGTGGGGGGGGTTGTGATGGAATGAGGATGTGGATGTCATGGAGAACATTGTCATCGATTTCACAATAAGTAATCTTCGGTATCATATCATTGTCATCGGTTTCATAACATTGTCATCGATTAGTCGTGTGATTAAAATGGGGTGGGGGGTGGGGGGGTTGTGATGTAATGAGGATGTGGATGTCATGCTGAGAACATTGTCATCGATTTCACGACAAGTAATCTTCGGTATCATAGCATTGTCATCGGTTTCACTACATTATATCTCGTCGGTCGCATAACATTGTCATCGTTTTCATAACATTGTCATCGATGTCATCGATTTTCGTTTCTCTGTCGAACGCACGTACAATTGCATATCACACGGGGCGAGCGTAATACATGTTGGAAGCTTACAAGTGTATTTGTTTCCGTGTCTTTGCCGCATTCCGCAGCGGAGCAAGTGCCCGGGACAAAAACGGCGACGGATTTTGCGCTGGCGCTTGGGTTTCGGCAGATTCGGCTTTAAAAATGAAAGGATCCGGGACCCCCAAAAAACATCATCGAACAAGCAAAAGTACTGAGAGGGCTTGCACTTTTGAATCAACATTTGCACGACTACACGTGCGATTCCACACCCGGCGGGATGTTTGTGATTGTTTGTGTATATGTTCTATATGAAAAAGTCAGAACCTATTCATCCGCATGCGCCTCGCATGCGCCTCTGCTTGGACAGTGCTACTTTTTGGAGGAATCCATGGCTTGGCCGCCTGGGTGACACCGGACCTGGGACTGTCTTGGTGTGGAGATTGATGATGATCCTCACGGGTGGCGTGCCCGAAACGGATGTGAGGGACTATTCCCGCTGAAAGGCGGCTTTGAGACAACGCAAGTGGAACGAACCCGGGCGTTTTCTGCGCTCCACCCGGGCGTAGCGACGGCCTAGTAGCTGGCATCAGTCATGTAATCATGCAACATGTGCCCCCCAAAGCCCGAGGTGACAGTTTCACATCCACAGATGGAGTACTGTTCCATGTTCCGCCTGCAGGTGGAGTACTACTTCAGCGATGCCAACTGGGCGAAGGATGAGCCTTGGTACACAGACGTTTGGCCGGTAAACAGTAAACAACGTGAATCCTTGTTTGATGCATCATGATGGATCTACACCATGAGCAGGAAAGCTTCCATAAATGCTTTGTTGGATTAATGAAGGAGACAAGAGGTTTCGCGTGTTCAGGATCTCCATTGTACACGCTGAGGATCTCTTCAGGAACAAGGTTCTGAGTTCTGCGTTGCATTCTGATTAAACCTGAAATTCAATTTGTTACACACTGAGGATCTCTTCAGGAACGAGGTTCTGAGTTCTGCGTTGCATT